GACGGGGCGATTTTTTAGAGGACACAGAGTAGTTCTAGGAAAACATCAATTTTGAGCCCAGCATTTAAAAAGCTCGCATAGCTAAGCATTGGGGGCACTTTGGATGAAACTTTCAGCACAGAAGACTGTATTTTTTTACATAACCCCCCCCCCTGACTTTAAAGCTGGATCCGCCCCTGGTCGCAATAAAGAAGCACCCAACTATGATGGTAAATGTGATTTGATCGGGAAAATGCGTTCCTTACCGTAAAGCAAAATCAACGTTTTCCTTAGACAAATTGTAAAATTCTACCCCAGCAAAGACGGCTTGCCCAGCTGCAAGAAAATGGGTTTCCATGTCCGTGGAGCTGTTGAACCCAACCAGCTCGAAGGAGCTGTTCAATGGGGCCATTATGGCCGAACTCGCCTCATCTTGCGGAGTGTACAGTAGCATTCTGGAAACGAACACTGAAGCATTTTTTTACATGGTTCAAAAAGTGTTTTACCCCTTTGCAGTTCCATTGGTTGCGTCCTCTGCCAGGCTCGTGAACCGTCTAAAAGCGCTTTGATATTTCGAGCTAACAACTTGCGGTTCTCCGCATAAATTGTAAGTGTTTGCCGCTGTTAAGTTGGGGATGGTACAGAATGGCTTATAAGCTACTGCGTCATGCGATTCTGGATCAACCAGGCTTCTTATTACGACAAGCAGTATGGAAAATAGGACCGGAGCCAAAATTTCGATCACGGTCTGTAGGGGTTTTCTATACTGCAACATCCAGTTCTTCCACATGAGGAGAGCGAATTTGTTCCATCGTTGGCCCATTTTTTCTGAAATTACAATGTTTCGACTTTAATTTCTTTAATTCACCTCCTTTAGCAGGTAGCAGAACAATCAAATATTAATGTAGTTTGAGGACATTAAAAAACAACTTCTGTCGAGGTGTGCAGTTCAATTTATTGGCGATTTCCAATCACTCTGACCTTTAAACGAGAAAAGAAGCCTTCGAAGGACCAACAATGTCGGTAGGCAAAGCTATATTTGCTTCAAACCACGTGCTTTCTTGGGGAGGGACACACAGAACACACTAAACTTACTACCCTTATTTAATGGAAACCTTCCCTGTTAGGGCAGCACCACTTTATGGGCCATTTGTGGGCACAAGAGAGACAGATGGGAACCCGGATGGTAAGAAAACAGATCCAAACGGTTTCTAATCTTCTCAACAACTTCCTTGGAAGGAAATTGGGGTATTTCTATTCTGTTTCCTATTCCAACGCACACATGGAATAGAGTTTTTTCAAGAAAACCACACAAAAGTTTTTCTTTTTGGAACAACCGATAAGTTTTAAAGGATCTCAAAAATCTGACAAAATCAGATCCTTCACATTTGACTTCTAATAAGGTGTTTTCGGCTTCAACTTGAACAACAAACCCTTTTAGGCTGTGAACAGAAACTCATTGGAAACGCGAATGTATAATTAAATTTTGCACATAAAACGTCCCGAAAAGCGTTTAGAAGGAATAATTAGTCAAAAACCAACGAGTACCAACCTGAATATAAAAAATACTTAACTTATTTATGCGAATTGTTGAAGCACATTTTTTTGCCGTACAACCGGACAAACGATTTAAATAGTCGTCAGTGTAAAATCTACATGAAAAATGGCTCAAAAACGCGGAAGTAAATTAAAAACGGTTGATTATTATCTGAACAACAATGTGGAATTAAATTTTTGTCTGCACACAATGCGACAATAGAGTGTTTTCATTGGATCAAAAATTCCTTCAAACTGAACATTAATCTATGGTAACATATTTATATGAAAGATTAAATAAGTTTATACTATCTATCTACTGCTATTTTGTTAAATATTTAATAAACAAATTCGACTAAAATTCAAATTATTACTGAATCTCTAAAACGCAATCCTATCGGTTGTGACGTCACTCGTCATATAAATGGCGGATTGTTTACGTTCTGTGCAT